TAAGTATCGATCCACTGTGAAGAAGTCTGCTCACTGATTTGCGATCTTATCCCTATTGAAAATGTTCTCTAGGTGTCGAGTTTCAGTGCTTATATCCAGCAGCAAAACATTTCTGCACCCTTTCCGCCTGCAACAGTGTATGTGGTGCCTACTCTTCTACAGAAATAGTCTCACACGGTAAATTATACTCGTCCAAAAAAGGCTTACTGTAGAGTGTTAAGTGTAGAGATAAACTTTCCATGCGTGATGCCAAACATTACTTCCGTGTTGGATAAGCTATCGATTGAGTACTAGAAGCGCGGTTAAAAAGCTCTGTTTGGCAAAATAAGCCATTGAAAAGGAAATGCATAAGATACGATGCACATAGTCCACTTTGCACATCCACGTGTGCATTGCGTACAGTGCGTTTTGGGCGGCATGTGGTGACAGCTGGATCGTCATTCAACGGTTATTTCGCAATGAGCTGAATTCCCAACAGGTTGGTTTTATTTGTGAAGAACATAAAGGACAACATATCGCTGAAATCGACATTGAGATGGAGTGAAAGAGGGAAGACCAGTATGCCGTAGGCAGCGAAGGAAAAGGAAATAACGGTGACAAGCTAAGAAGAAATGAGGATTTCTCACAGGAAAGCTGCTATATAGGTTCCATGTAAATCCATTTATTCATTTTTTCACTAGGAATTGCAAAAGAAGAGAACATTTCAAACAGTAAAACTTGGAGGATGTAATCGTTACAACTGAACGTAAATTGCTAAGATTTTGGAGGACGCGATTTGTGATTAGGTAAAAGCTGAACGGAAGGTATCATTTTTAAGAACTGGAAATTCTAGCACAATGTGTTTCTGCACACAGAGTTTACAGTATCAATGAAAGATAGAAAGGATGAAGGCTGAAAATGTGTAGCCTGTCCAAAAATGCCATTGTAAATATTGACAAAGGTGAACTGTTTGCAGCTCTTGTTCTACACTCGAAATAAATTCGTCTATATAACTTCGCCCAGCGATTTACCTACCATCTTACTGTCACCATAAATGTTGAGCTCCAGTGTAAAAATACAGAAGAAATGTTACCGACCATGGGCTTCAAATCAAATGAACAGACTGTCTCGAATAACAATTTTGTAACTTTTAGAAATCAACGTTATTCTGTCATGAAGGCTTTATTTATTCTGCTAATATTTCGACACACGCGCCTTCTTGAGGACCGCGTTGCTCCCAGTCGATGGTCCACAGGTGGTTGTACTCATGATGCTCGGGTTCACTGTCGCATCGATTTATATTCAGCGAAGTGGAACACCACTCGAAAAAAGCCTCACTAGGCAGTACGCTTTTAAAAGCTTTTTGTATTACTGAGCGCAAAATATAGTTTCTCTTAGCGGTAAACTGAATAGAAAAAACTCTTCTTGGCAAAATAAGTGACCGGAAACAAAATGTGAGTCGTGCAAGACTCATGCCGGACATGTTGCCCCGAAAAATATGAGTCGTATACGAGTTGTGTTGTCGGTGATTGCTAGCAGTGAAAGATTACTCTTGGCTGGTGTTTCAATTTCCCGAACCTGAATATCTTTCTAGCAAGTGTTATCGTGGCGTGAATTGGATCTTACAAATGCGACGGTGAAAGCACCTCCTCGCAATGATAGATTTCTTAGGAAGACCATTAAAAGAGTAAACAAGAATTTCGTAAATGTCACCATCGTTATTTATTTTCTTGTCCGACAAGTATACATGTTGTTCCCAAAACCGACTTTCTATCAACCTCGGCAATGATTGATAATTTACTGTTTTTCATCAATGAGCAAACACGGGGTTGGTATTACAGAATTTATTAGCGCACAACAGCTGGCGTTTCAGTGGTGTCTTCTTCTTCGGAGCTTGGAAAAGTCAAATTGACATGCAGTCTACTCATCAAACACTTCCATTCACTTTCTCAGCGGATAAAACTTAATATATAAATTCCCATTCCCATAATAAACAGCTTCTTTTAAACACGCTCCGTTTCGTTCTCTGTAAGTCTTCCAGATTTGGTGGAGGCCAGCCGTACATAGTATTATATGGGCAAGGAATGAACCTGGCTCAGGTGAGAGAATCAGCCAGGGATACGGCGCGAGTCACTCGTGATTACAAAACACTCCTCATTGCGTCTCCATTTCGGACTTTCGGAATCTATTCAAAAGCCTTCAAGAATTTTGCGCGCTGATGTTTCGGTTTCCCGTGCGAGGATACGGGCCTTCACTTCAAAACTTCGTTACTTTTTTGTGTCTTGTGCGCACCTAGTGCAGTGTTTGGTTTAGCTTTAGGTTTACTGACAAGGTGTTCTTTTACACGGACGTGGAGCGGTCTATACATTTCGCCAACGTGTTTGTCCCCACATGGTTTACAAGAGATTAAGTACATCGTGCCCTAATTCATACAAACACCGTCTCTACCGTTAGAGCATATTACGCAATTTTTCGTTATACATAGACGGTCATATAGGGGATTACGATCTAGATGGCGTCTTAGAGTGTCCAGTGGTATTTCTATCACTGTTACTGAGTTCTCTAAACCTGTCCTTCTTAAGCAACCTTTTACAGCTGCACTTATCTCTCGTTAGAATTAAGAGTAGGATATACGAGGACAGTGGTTCTTGCGTGGTTCCTTATTCTTGCTCGACGTTTCGTTTGAAGACGTGGTTCTTCCTCCAAATCTCCCTCGAGGAGATACTGTTTCGTAGCTATTGGAAATGGCTATTTACCGTTCCAATTTCAAGGATTCTCCCTTCCGCTCTCTTCCTGTGGTGGCTGTTCGAAACATATTTCAAACAAGCGCCCTTTCTCTGTGTGAGGGGTAGGAGGTGAGGTACTAAACCACTACGTTCTTGCTACTTGGCTACCACTTTGTAATGAGTGATGTAAAAAAAATTTGTTTTCGGACAGGTTAATTGGAACGTTCGGGAATGGAAGCCAGATTTAACTAAAAGAATTTGTTCATCTCCTTTTATGTGGAGCAGATAACAAAGCAATCATCTCTATATCTACAGTGGAGACTATAGGTGGCCAAACATCGATTACCGGTGCTTCCACCGTAGACATAGAGGCAATGATAAGCCTTGGTGCCAGTCGCTATCCCATTTGGCAACCCTTTAATTTGTGCATAATATTTCCCGGACCACTTGAAGTTCGACCAGTTTACGCACACCTTCAAGAAGGTCATGAGTTGATGAATCGGGAAGTCATACATGTCTACTACTTCGTGTTGCACATCACACACGCGTTGTTAGGACGCGAATCATACGGGCGATCCAGGAACGTTTGGGCATTCGTGAGGTGGGCTGGCATGTGCTTAACAATTGGATGAGAATTAGGTTTATGAACCAAGCTATTCTATCGGTAGGCCCATCTACACAACTTATAACGGCTCTAAGCTCTATTTCTCTCGCCTATTTTCCAATGGTGTGCCCATAGAAAACATTTTTAGTGAAATATTCTCTATCTTTCATTTTAACGTGTCTCATGTTAATTATATACTTCTTTTTGTACTAGCTACTCCGTTACTCCCGTCATGTAATCTATTGTATCTCAAGTTGCTTGACACAGTGTCCGCGTGCCTGCCCTAAATTTATAATTGTTGAACCCACGGGGAACGGGACCTTCACCATTCGCTTGGTTGGTAGTCACGCCCAATAACTGCACCATTTGCCTTCTGACGGTGCATGAAGATCGCCGTCGCCCTTCCTCACTGAGATGGCTCACTGAGGAAGACCTGGCTCGACACGAAGGGCAAGCTACGACGTCGAGACGAATAACAACCGTGGACCATCGACTCGGATCATCGGCTCTGAGGAAGACGAAGACGTCGAAACGTTAGCCGAAAATAAATATCATTATCAACCTCGTGTAAGCTCATCAAAAAAAGAATACATATTGAATGGTTTAATTATCTAAGATCCAGGTTTGGCGTACCACTGCCAATCAAGAAGACCAGCGCTGCAGAATCGCCACATTACAACGTTACCTTTGTGGTACTTTTGCACTGATATTTCGAGACTTCGGAAACGATAAGAACCTTCAATACCATCAAAATTTTATTCAAGTAGAAATTATGTTAAACTCTGCACCATTTGTGAAGTCCGAACATTGAAATAGGTAAGTTTCAATGGATAAACATGAAACCATTTGCTAGATCGATCTGCTATTTTCATAGCTAAGCATAGCTAAAAGTAAACCAACGAATGCTGTTCCAACACTGCGAGCCACCAGTGACTACCAGGCTACCACGTCTTCGAAAACTCTATAAAAATAGCGTTTCGTACGAAAAAATGTGTTGTTCTTCGTCTGTTAAGCCGAAGCCGACGGCAGCGAAAAGGGCGGATACAATTTATTGCTACCAGTCTACTCGAGTCTACCAGTGGTGCGACTACAAGCGATGACAACACAAATCCGTCTTGGTGTGTCCTCATAAACTAGACAGTTTTGCTGTGTTGTCAGATTTAATGCAAAACTTAATGTGTAGTAAAAGTAACAGCATTATCTTCAACTTATTCTTTAGCATCATTTTATAGTACTCAGTATTTGGTATGAGCACTCATATTCGTTCATTTCTTCAGTGCCCGATTTCTTGACATAGATACTCTGTCATTAAAAAAACAAGCGATACGGCTCCGGACGTTGATCAATCCCTAGGTGATCGCCATGCATTCGACTTCATTAAGCATCGTTTGGGGCGACTGAATGTTTATCTGGCCTTCACAATGACTCTAGGTGGCCTGCTGAGGTATCGAGCCAGTGTGCTATCCTCCCAGACAAGTCTGGTACCAATTTGCCGACCCCTGATGGATGGAAGGCTTAGTCAAGGGCACGAGGATCGATCCCATGTGTATGTTGTAGGGCGTCTCCGACCACTGCGCCACACGCGCCCTTAACTCTGTTATTAACAGTGATAATAGCTAAAAAGTCAGCCAAATGTTTATTAAATTCAATAGATATGCACTGAAGGAGATTATTGGGCAAAGTGAAAGTAATTACGCTGCAGTGATGATTCGCATTGTGTTGGTGAGGCCCGAACCTGAAATGAAAACAGCGTCCATAAGGGAATAATGGGTGAAAAAGATTGAAACTTCTTCAAGCCTTAATTCCCAACCGTTAGGCACCTACTCGTAGATTTTCAAGCAAATAGGAAGTGCGTCTTGTGTCAGAATATCTGACTAACCAAATTTCCATCCATTAATCACAACGAGAAAGTCGCCTCTGCTGATATAACCACGACTTTTGCCTATTTCGATCCCATGATTAATTCTGTTGTCGACGTCAGTAGCAAAGTCATTATGTTTCGGTTTATTGTAGAAGATAGGGAAGACGGCCCTGAAGCGCATGTATTTAGCTCTTCCCTTTTCTATCTATAAAAGTGCTCATTGTCATTGTCATTGTAAAACTAAGCAAAACTAAAGACATCCTATCTGGCATACAAAAATGTAAACAGTTATAAACAAATGATTATTTTCATCAACCTGCAAAGATTTAACTGACGACAGACGCTCGTGTGACGACATACGGCTAGAATCGGAATGGGTGATTTATAGCGGGAGCAATTTATGGCCACCCTGAGAGTGAAGTTGTGACAAAGGCTGGTTGTTCAAAGTAGTATGGGTCGGATGCCCTACCGTCCAGTGCAAGTAACAAGAATAATGGCCGCTGCATGACACTTGACAGCCGCAGTAATGGCAGCGAGAACCACGGTGTGTGTCATGTCTGTTGGACGGTTCGTGTGCCACAGAACGTCTTCGACATATTTACGATGATTACTAGCTGCTTCCGCTTCCTGAAGAATCTTTTTCTTCAAGAATAAATGTAAAGTGTTTCGTAAAGTGCACTTGTCTTACGATGCAAAGGTAGTGCATAGTCTTCACTGTTTCTAGTGGGTAGTCTCCCTTAGCAGTCTCTCCTGACAGCATGACACAATCCGCTCCATCGAGAACCTACAAGAATTCCACAATGATCGCTATACTTTGTGACGACATTAGTATCATAACTGAAGTAGAGCTTTTTCTAAAGACTGTTTAGTGAAGGTGATCTGTACGAACTGTGGACATTACCTTTCTATTGACATTGCCATGTTGTTATTTCTTTCTAAACGAATAGCACCGTTCTCAGTTTTACTGGTTCGCTTACCAATACTTTCTACAACATCGAAAAAAGATTTATCACATCTGTTCACCAAAAAAAGAATAAAGCTCTCGGCAGTGATCAATCCCTAAGGGATGTGCCATGAAACTTCATTAAGCATCGTTTGCAGGTGATTGAATGCATATCTGGCCTTTACAATGACTCGCCGTGGCTTATCGAGCCAGTGCGGCTATCCTTCCAGACAAGTCTAATAGCAATTTGCCGACCCTGGATGGAAGACTTGGTGGGCCATGGGCGCGCGGATCGATTCCACGTGTGCGTTACAGCGCGCCTCTGACCACTGCGCTAGACGCGTCTGTTCACTAGGTCTGTTAATTCAAATGCTATTTGGAAGATGTCAACTCAGAAGGAATTCCAGAGGAAAACAGCATCTATTCTTTAATTAGTTCCTTATGGCCACTCGATAGGATAATGCTTAGAAATGAATAGATATATTCACTTGGGAAATCAGTTTCTACGACTTGACAGAGAACCTCGAAATTCTATTAGTTTTACGCCATCATTTCTGCTTCTTTTGAGGACATGGGTTAATTTTGTTAAGCAATTTGAATCTCTTTCAAATGCCTTTTTAATTTTGTATATAATAAGAAACTCCTCTTCCGACTAGCCCCTTTTTTGAACGTTTCTTAGATGACTCGTATATAATGATGAGATATTTGCAAAACTCCGGACCGAAGGTGTATGCTGTGGGGAACGAACACGCGCTGTTGTCATTACCGGGGAGCAGCGCACTTCACCACCACACCATCCGGGTCCTTCATTTTGCCTGTCTCCCAGCTAGTTCTATCGATCTTTTTGCCAACAGCAATCACCCGTCAACGGGATTGGTTTCTTAGGTGGTTCGAAAAGTCTAGAACTAAGATGAGCTGCTAAAAGAGAACCATTGAGTTGGACGACCTTCTGCATTACCAACTTTCTGCGTAGAAGATGCTCCAATCCCTTCAGTTCTGTTTTAATGCGCGATGAGAAAAGTGATCGCAGACTACAATAGGAAGTGACTAGCCAACCGTCGTCGGCTGATGATTAACCGAAGTTTCCCAAGAATCCTAGGCACTAGTGCATCATGTAAGGTCGCTATGTCACTCCATCACACTCAAGGACTTAATAGCTTTTATCCAAAATCTGAATGAGTGAAAGCGTGGAACTCTTACCAAATTTTCCAACAGTTACCCTACTATTGACGTAGTAAAATGAATCTTCTTCAGAAAGGACTAGCACTGACAACGAACACTTGTTAGAATATCTTTTGTTTTTCTCCTCCATTCTACGAGTTTCATTCGATACCCATGATTATCACCTCTAGGATCCGTCAATGCTATTAAGATATTTCAAATATACTCACGGCGTTCGCGACATCACTTCCTTCTGCTCGGGTTGGACGAGGTTTCTTCGTCATGGACTCGAGCATTTGAGTCGCGCAGACTACCGGTTTGCCAGCTTTATTGCATTTCGCGATCAGTACCTACAATGTAGGATCGACAATCTTTCTTGCTTATGTTGGAAATGTTGTAATGTGCTCATAGGTGCTGATATGATTTCTCACCTTTTGAGCAACGAACACTTTCTCAGTAGGAATTTCAATTCCAAGATCTCCTCTGGCCACCATGACACCATCCGCTTCAGCGATAATTTCGTCAGCCTTGTCCATACCCTCCTGATTTTCGATTTTTGCGATAATCTTGATATGTTTGCCTTTTTCGCCAAGAACCTGAAGCCCTCATTATAAATGAAAGTCCTCAATTTGTCATTCGAGTCAGCATGTCGCGAAGTGACGTTGTGTGCCAAGCTAATATATAATGAGTAACTAGAGGTAGGTCAGAAGGAGCCATTTATTTGCCGTAAGACACGTCGACTTTTTGGATCCACTAGTAAGCTCTGTTTTTCTGAGTGTACAATCCAATGCACTCGCCAATTCAAGTGTTCGGGTTTCGTTCAACAAATGTGCCTCCGAGAGACCACTATAATAACTGACACTTTTTGAAATTTTATTTTATGCTACCCGTCCTCACGTCCACTGTACGGGTCCCAACAATTCTCACGGTCGATTCGTTTCCTCACATCCATCACCCACGATGGTCTTCCAACTTGTGCGTGTGGCCTTGGCTGAGGCTTGAAGATTTTCCATTTCATTTTCCATGTCGTAGAATGATGGTTGATTCCTTTTTCCGTGGATGGGGTGGAGCGTTCCCAATTGGATTGCAAAGAGTGTTTTTTCTCGGACAAGTCCGGCACCAGTTTGTCGATTCAAAGAGATGAGATGCTTGGTAAGCCTGGAGCGAGGTCGAACTAGCACCATTCTCGTGATGACAGGCTTCACTAGCACTGCGTTATCCGCTCCATAATAATATAACAATAATAAAAGTGACATGTTCTGTGTGTCCGCGGGGCTTGGAGACAGTGCACAACTCTAGCGCACTTTATCATTGAAGGGATTACAAATGGAACAAAGTATGCATTCTGAAATCATTTTTTGGGGAAACTAAGAGTAAATTCGATATGTGCGATGATTTGAAGCAATATTCGAAGAGGTTGTGCTTTAGAAATACGTTACTACCATTAAAGAACACTGTATCAATCACAGCCAGTGCTTGAACCTACTTTAACTACCCCAGACAGTGCAGTGTTTCATAACAACGTGCTGTAAACACACTGTACCACCTTTACAAAACCTTTTTGAATTACTTAAAAATAGAGGGAAGAAAATTTATACAATTTCTGCAGTGCTAAAGAGTGCGCGTTTTTAAGAACATTGATAAGCCATTCTGCACTTTTGCTCGTTAGCGCAGAAGCGCCTCATTTGTGTTCACAACTTCTTCGTTTATGATTTAATAGTAAACTGGTCATTGTAGCGTAACATACTGATTTGCCCATTGACATACGACCAGACACGAAAAATTTCCATTTACTCCCTCAGTTTGATGGAAACTTTTTCTCTCTTATGGCAGTATTATTATTGGATTAGAACAAAACAGAGGGCTTAATCACCTTACGCATGGCTCGTATGCCATCGGCATTTCTGATGAAAGAAGCGAAAATCATATCAACTCCCTGTTCAACGCCGAATTTGAGATCCTGAAACATCAAGTATATGAGGCATGAGACACAGATCCGTCTCGTTGTGATGAAGCTTGACCCGATGCATTGCGACGTTACGTGCCACGACTGCATGTGAAAGGGTGTGGTGGTACGTGTGCCTTAGATAAATTGCAAGTTCGTACTTTCTTTATGAAAATGCTGACGGGTGTGAATTCGTTGTATCTAATGCCGCAGATTCACATCCGTAGACATTTTCACACATAGGTTTGCATATGTGAATGCAGATTGCAACTTAACCGTCAAACCGGTGCAAATTTTTCAGTCAAATGTGACTGGATTATTCATCAGAAATCGTAAACTACCTGTGAATATTCTCGTTTTTAATGGACTTCATAAGAAACACAGCTGGAAGGATGCTTAGGAACTCGTATGAATGCGCAACTAGGAGTAAACCTATGTCAGATATCGTCGCTCTCCTAGTAATCTATTCACAATGCTGCTAAACTCTCGACGAAATAGATCACTTGGGTACCACGGAGGAGAAATCGTGGGAACGTCACCACACTATTGTCCCGAGGTGTAAGGGTAAAAACTTTCTTGGTAATCAAAACTTCAATAAAATGATAATTGTATCACCGCTTGCTCTGTTCATTACGACAATCACTCAAACATCAAACGTGGAGTAACTCGAAGAAATCAGGGAAACGGTGAAGTAGTACCGAGATATCTTTTTCAGATACAGCTGGCAGATCGACAAGTGTGCCAGGAAGATTCACACCTTTGCGGCTACCTAAAATGCAATTAGTTACTTTTCAAAGAGAAACTGTCTTATAAAGTCTAAATGGCTTCAATAGCTCAGTGAGGTGAATTGATTCACCAAGCATTCCACCGTTTTCGATCGTACACTCAATATCGGTGGCTTTGATTTCGTTGACAACAAGCGAAATGAGGCCGTCGTCGATGTAGACCCGAGATCCTTTGCTCACCACCTGTCAAATTTCAGTTTCATTTGTGGAAAATGCTGTCACGGCAAAACTGTTATGCGCTAGATGTGCAGTTTGGCAAAAAAAAAGAAAATATGGAGACGAGGCTGGTGAAATCGTCATCTAATTCAGGAGTGCGCCCTTGGAATGTTAGATGAGCAAATGTTGCCTCGGTAAAAAGTGAAGTCTCAAATTTCTGAAACGTTGAATCACCATTCAAAATTAGGAGAACATTTATTTCGAGGACAGTGGAGCTCTGAGTAGTGCCCTCCCTAATGATCCGTGATTCGAGTTTTACAAGAAGAGCCCAGGGTGACCAAGGTGCATCCGGACGTTTTAATTTTTAGAAGGGAGTGGTGGTTTGAAGTGGTGCGACCAACTGAGCTAAGATTATGCAGAGTTATAACAGTGGCAATAAAACGGCGAAAGGATAGTAGTCATTGTCCTCAATTTATCACCTACTATTTTTTAATAGCAGAGTATTATGTGAAATATGACCACAAAGTTGCTAAGATAGTTGCAAAAGTTCGGGCCATTGGTGTCTGCGGTTGGGACCCAACACGTTAATACCCTTTCCAGGGTCTAACGCGTTCACCACCACACCAAGCGCGTTCATAGTTGACGCACCGCCGTCACAGACATCCCTGCCGCAGACACCTGCGGTCCGGAATAATCATTGTATTTAGCAACTATTGAAAGAAATTCTAAGCAGAAAATCGATGTATGGTGCCATAACGTATACCTTCACGATGTTCTTATAATCCAAATAAAGCTTTTCGGCTCCACATGAGTCTTTATATGTTTCGTGCGTCGTAAGAGTAATCGATTTACCCTTTACCAGTTCAACCTAAGTGAGATGTGAAGACGATCATTATCTCTTCAAGAAAAGCAAGCCTATTTTTTTACAACGAGTAAATAGCGTCTGTAAAAGTGTATACCAAGAATCTTTGTCATTCTTTTCTTTAAAAAAACCTCAGAGATGTGCGTTCGTGTATCACTTATGCTTACAATGAAGGAAAGCCCACAATTTTTTGAATGAGCAACAAGGGTCGGAGCTAAAATCTATCACAATGCGATGTAAAATTAAAGACAATAGTGGAGCGTTTTGCTTGAAAGGTTACAAAACATTCTTTTATTCTGTAATGTACTTCATTTTCCTGAAAAAAAATGACTTATTACTTCAGCAGCTGCACCGCCTGTCAGCAGACCAGTGCGGATCTCCGGTCCCTTTGTGTCGAGAGCGATTCCGATTTGAAGATCACCTCCCATCTCCTCGACCGCTTTGCGAACATTTGTAATAGTTTCACCGTGGTACTGTAACATCTTCTTAGCAGTGAAGGATTTTCTATGTCTAGACAACAATTTTCACTAAAACACCCAACACACTCCAACCAATCTATCTAAGGTTGATGTGGGACGCTAAAGATGTCTAGGAATGAATCCATAGATGAAAGATACGGATGACTCCTTTATTCTAACTGATACGATTTTCATCGTGTCAGTTACCACAGTGATGAGGAGTCGCAAAATCCCCAATTTCGCCTTGTAGCTTGAGTTAAGTTATTCGTGTAGTAGTGTTCTGTAGTGTGAGATGCAGGCACCTATGAAATATGTGGAAGCAGAGTAGGGTAACAGGGCCGGATAGCACAGTAGTAGTGATGTCCGTTATCACGAGCAGGGTACTAGTTTGATTCCACTCAGGGCCAACCAAGCCTTCCATCCCCTAGGGGTCGGGAATTTGGTAGCGGACTTGTCTGGAGAAAAATCACTCTCTGCAATCCAATTGGGAATCCTGCAGCTCGGCTATCTCAGGACTCTAGTGAGAATAGACTCGACCACCACTCTGCGACATTTCGAGATGAAATGGAAATCCTCAAGCAGCAGCCGAAGCACGCGTAAAAGTTTGAAGATGTTCGTGGACAATGCATACGAGGAAACCAATCGAATGTGAGAAGTATTGGGTTCCTCACAATATATATGAAGAGGGGTCATATAAAAAAAGAGTAGCATAACTTGTAGCGGCAGTAGTGATGTGTTACTGCAGCAAAGATGGAAAATGTTCTTGATAAGGAGAACTAGCACACGCCTCGAGACCGCTCACAGTGACTATGAACGTTGCTCATCTCAACTAGTTTGACACAGTGTTCACCAGATTAAAAATATACGCACTGATGAGAGCACAATTTCTAGAAGTTAGACCACCATAGCAGCCGAATGAGTATGCAGGCATTACCTCCTTAACATTTATTTTACTTGTAGTAGCGGCTGTACTTCATGACAGCGTACCTTTGAAAATGTCATTTAGACCGAAAACACTATTAAGCAATCACTTCGTATCAGTTCTTTTCTTTCCATCAATGAATTTGATCTGCTACATCGTCTTCAATCGGTTGGGTCGATCGACTGCTCCGATCACCGCCACTCAAGAGGAACACTAATTTCAAGCCAGCAAAAAGTTCCGTTTAATCCACAAGGGGGAAAATGCCTGTAGTGTAGACGCCTTAGCTAGTTGTCTTCGAATTGCAGTGAAAACCAACTTAGATTAACCTTAAATATGCTGTCAGTCGATGAAGACACCAACTCGATCACCTATATAGGTACTGTCTATGCAAAGAAGTAGATGGGAAAAGGGTGGAGTGAACAGAATGTGGAGAAGCTATCTAAATTTAAAAGTGGGTTTCTCCAGTCAGCGCTCAATTTTTGAATCTTTAGTCCCCCATTTTCTGTTCATATTCATTAAATCGCGCGTGTGACGCAGTGGTCGGAAGCGCCTTTCAAAGCCTGGAATCGATCCCCGCGCTCATGGCACATCAAGCCTTCCATCCCTCCAGGGTTCCGGAGTCGGCAAATTGCTACCAGCCTTGTCTGGAAGGATAGCAGCACTGGTTCGATACATCGGTAGGCCATTGTAAAGGCCAGATATGAATTCGATCAGCTCCGAACGATGCTCAATGAAAGTGAATGTATGGCGAACCCTCGACGATCGACCCAACGCCGAGAGCTTTCATTTAATCATTAAATCTAGTGAATGTACGCAGTTTCTCTCTCAACAAAAGTAAGCTAGTACCCGTGATGAGTTCCGCGTTAAAGTATTTACTACTGTTCTTTTTCAAGCCTGTAGCCTTGTCGCTCCATTCCTGTACTATTCTCATCGTCATGTTCCTATCTACTGCATATACTCTGCTGCCAATCAATATCAGTCATATCTTCCAACACAATACGATACACATATCAAGCACTGTCAAGTACTCAGAAAAACATGCGCGAATTACCTCATGACTTCCATGTGAAAAGTTCAGACGAGCAATGTTCATGCCACAAGTGATCATTTGCTTGAGCATTTCTACAGAACGGCACGAAGGACCTGTAACTTATCAACATTTGCACAAATATATTAAACCTTTCAACCTCCCACACACACTTTATCGTTGCTGTTGTGAGCTCAGCCCATCGCTCCATCGGTCACTGAGAAGAGAATCTTGTTGTAACACAAATCCAATCCAGTGGAATTGGTTTACGAAGACTCGCATTGATGGTTTGGAAACTCTGACAAGAATGCGAACACTCATTCTCATTTGTTAAGATTTAGCTAATCCTATCTTTGTTAGGAATGACTATCCTACAGAAGAAATAAGAAAAGATTTGGAGTTGGGTGGTCAACGATTTATGCGCCTATAAAAAAATGGGGAAAAATGTTCTCGTTGCTCTTACCATGCCATGGTTATAGGTGAGGGCCTGCGTCATAGAACTATGAAATATTCAGTGTTCAATATTCGTCACATTTGATAGCACGATACGATCTCATGATTAACACTTCGTTTCCTACCTATAGTACAAATGATGCCGGTTTTTCGATAAGGTTGCGGTGCGTCTCGGATGCTTAGACGACACAGGTGGTCTAGATGAGTAATGGCATTTTCTTCAACTTTCACCTCCTGTCTGAAATATGTATTTGGATATACGGGACAAAAAAGAAGATGTTTGACTACTGATGAGAATACGTCAAGCCTTATTCACAGACCTCAGTGGTCTTCTTGGTTTCTGCAGAAACCATGGCGTAGACATCTTATGGATGCTTTTCAAAGACAGCCGTGTTTAGCAACACCGTACGAGGAATGGAACTCTTTATGTTTCAAGAAATCGCTGTATAACTTCTTTATCGTTATTTGTGTAATTATGATATGCCATTGTTTTCATAAGAGATATTTATCATTACGTGTTATCACTATGCAATCTAATTCCAAGGCGTTTGGATACCTAGAAAATGGGTTTACTTTGGACTCCTTCTTGGGTTCTCTTCTGAGAGAGCTGCTTTGAAATAGTGAAGCAAATGACCTCGATATAACTGCACCTCGATATTCGCACAGCTTGTGGATTTACTGTGCTTTTTCTTTTTTTTGTTTTTCGCTCACCCTCACTTCAATGGGCACGCCTCATGTGCAACCTCGTCAGTTAGGCTTCGAGTAGTGCAGTTGAGCTTAACTGTCAAAGTGTAAGCATATGAGGATCTAGCACTCTTTCTCATCTCGATGCGCATTCAAATAATAGAGTGACTTTTTTAGTGACCAAGTTGCTTCTGTGTAGCAAAATATGGGCTCGAGCTTAGGCTTTGGTTTAAGCGGCGTGGTCCAGCATCGCTCTGTTTCTGTATTATTATTCTCTGTTTCTCTACGAGCGTAGTTGAATGCTGAGTGCTCTTTAATCTCCATATTGTAAATTATGCAATTTCTGAGTCTATCGGATCACTTCCACTATTACGAAGACCTTATTCGTGGCTGTACATAGCACTCGGCTCCACGCAGAACCATGGATGTTAATTCTTGTAGAGCAGTAATTATTCTGCTTCCATTCGTGTAAATTATCAACCGGAATGGGAATATCAAGGTACTTGGATAAATGAGGGATTGAATCGGGAGGCATTCTAAATCTTTATGTCACTATTGAGAGTTCTGTTAATATGCGTCTTTCCTTTACAATCAAAATATTTGAACTTCTTTACCTTATTTCTTCAGTTTCATTTACTGCCTATTCTTTTTATGGCAGGTTGCCATGTGAAGTAAAACCATAAGGATGCTGGGATATGAGCAAACTCGGAACCTAAGCTGGGCTTCGAACCCACGATTACCCTTAGTAGGAGCTCACATTTTATCCACCACGCCAATCCAGCCCATTGCTTTGCACCTTCAAATAGTGCTGATGCTTCTATTACAGGCAAGACCGAGATAGTGATGTTGCCACAAAGAAGTTAAACTCACTTTACTCCAAATGGTAGAATAGTGGAAGTGATCCGATAGACTTAGAAATTGCATAATTTACAATATGGAGATTAAAGAGCACTCAGCATTCAACTACGCTCGTAGAGAAACAGAGAATAATAATACAGAAACAGAGCGATGCTAGACCACGCCGCTTAAGCCCAAGCCTCAGTCTAAGCCTGAGCCCATATTCGGGGTGTATAGAGGTATTCGACTAAGGGGAATGAGGGATACGAGCTGAGCTGACGATTCTCTCACCCAGCCTCTTCCAGTGATGCTACTTTCTGTTGAGGCGGAATTGCAGAAGTAGTGTAAATCCATGCCAAGGTGGGAGTATGGGTCATTAGTATGAAAGCTCAATTTGTGCGAAACAAAAGATGTGAAAAAGAGCAAACTGTAGTGCAGGGCTCTTCGGATGAGGATACGACTCCTAAAGCCCAAGACGTTAAATGAATGTGGACAGTGACTTGAGAAAACCACTTAGCAAACGGTAACTTAGGATGATTTCGTATCCCTAGCAGCAGCTGCTCACAAACTTGTCCATATTAACCTATCTGCTTATTTATTGAACGGAACAGTTCTTCTAGACCAGCGCCGTCCAGGAAAATTGTGTGCTACATCGACCACATAAATCTCATGCCGGTCAGTTGCGGGTCAACGTGGAGCGGCTCAATAGGGTGCGCCTCAAGATGGCTAACAGATGATTAAACGTGGACTTAAGACGAATTTGCGTTTCGTGGAGCTCAGGTGCATCTAGGGCATAGACTCCCTGTTTCTATTGCATAATTTGACACAAAACTTTTGTGTTTATAGGGACTTATTCATATATGCGTTCGTGGTGTGTTCTAATTTATGCCATTCGAGTCTTGTGATTCGGCCAAAGGCCTGCAGTCAAATGATTGAGAAGTATTTGGGAGGCGGTTAGCAGTTACCTCCAATAAACAGACACTTCATCTATTATAGGAGAGACCAGCAAGTTATTTACGAGTCTACCTAGTCCCCATGTTCTGGGCTCAGCAAACTATAGGTGGCTATTAAATGGCGGACAAGTGAGTTTCACTCACCTGACCCCGAAAGAGCCCCTGATACGACAGTGTTAGATAGGACGAGTATAGCGAGGCTGTCAAAATCTCACGGCCATTCAGGCTGGCCATATTTAGAAGGGCTAAGGTGACGAATTGTGTCTACACTGCACGCCCACTCGCATCTGAATCTTCGGTGGAGGACTTCATCCCGCTGGCTAGAAGGATAAGGTACTATGTCGTCGAACAGGCATAGATGAGAAGACGACACCTATTCAACGCAGTCTTTGATTCCGAAGAAGAACTGTTCCTCGGAACATGAGATAGTAGATAGTAGGAGGAGTCGGCGGCGTCGGCATGAATTTGGCCATGAACATCGATTCATTCGAACAACTAACAACCTGAATCGAACGTTTACGATTAAAGAGATGTGCATCAATACCAGCTTTGAAAATCTTCGTCGTTTACGCGCCGACATCAAACTATGACGAAGAAGAAGTTGAAGCGTTCTATATGGACTTGGAGAAGTTCTACAGAGAAGACCACACGTTCTTCAAGGTCATCATTATAGATTTTAACGCAAAGATTGGACCAAGAAGAAAGTCTGAAAAACGTCACATTGGGACCCACGGATTAGAATGGAACGAACAGCGTGAGGGGCTGCCTGAGTTTATCATGGCGACCAAGACCATCCATGGTAACTCGCAATTCCAGAAGCCCCACCCCCAACGCTGGACGTGGGAGTCTTCCTGTGGTGGGTACCGTAACGAAGTAAACCACATCATTGTAAATCGAAGGTTTTGGCCAAGCGATGTCGTCGTTGTACTAAAATTCTATGTCGAAAAAAAGGGAAATTTGCTAAATTCAAAAAGTGAGTTCCCAAAACCACCATAAACGGATTTTTTGCGGAAAATTGCAGTAGGCTGCAAATAAAAAGTCGACTTTGTGATTTCAGCTATAGCTTCAGCTTAACTGGGTTCGATACCGATTTGTGCTCCCCAGATCAAACCCGCTGACGGGCGATTGCTGATTGCACTGGTAGATAGAAAATTAGTTGAGACATAGGTTAAAAAAGGACCCGCATGGTGTGCTGGTAAGCGCGTTACTCCCCAGAAAAAACAATAGTGCGTTCGTTTCCCACCGTAGACACCTGCGAAATATCACCATTCTACAACGGTATTAAGGGATTAGGGAAAGCAATACAATCTCACCAAATTTATTCACTGTCACGTTCGAAAACGTGGTGCGGACACTGCAGTGGGACAACATGGGAACGGAAATAAATGGTCGGCAATTATACCATCTTCGCTAAGAGACAGGCAAAACGGAGGACGCGGATGGTGTGGTGGTGAAGTGCGCTGCTCGTCGGTAAGGACAACAGCGCGGGTTCGTTCTCCACCGCATACAACTGCGGTCCGGAGTTTTGCAAATATCTCAGCATTATATACGAGTTGTATTTCGAAACATACCCTGCCATTAAAAAAAAAGGCAGTAAATAAAAGGGTTAAGACTGTGATTATACCATCTTCGTTTTGCCGATGACATCGTTCTTATAACAACAAGCATTAGCCAGGCAGAAAGATTGGTTGCCCTCTTTGATAACGCCTATGAAAAAAATGGTCTTCGACTAAGTATCACATAAAGGATATTCATGAAGATGAGATGAGTTTCGTTTGCTCCATTCAAGCTCAACAGAACGATCTTCAACTCTGTGACTTTTTCTGCCTTAACGTATGCGTCAGAAACCTGGTCGCTGCGCAAGCATGATGAAAGACCACTCAGCTTTGTGGAAAACGCAAACGAAACGACAATGCTAGGAGTATTCTGTACCACGCAGGTGAGACAAAGGATCCCGAGCTTTGACATAGGTCAACAATCAAAGGCAAGGACTCCGTTCTATGCGCGTCGAAGATGAGCGGGTCGGAGACATAGTGCATATGAACGACAATCGCTAGACAACAGCCGTAAGTGACTGGTTTCGTCGGGATGTCAAAGGTAGTGCAAGGAGACCACGGACCCAATGGTAAGAATTTTTCGCGAAAGTTCTGGAAGAAGGATATGATACCTAACGAGTCTCTTAGGCGATTAAAAGCCACTGGGCTGCTTTTGCACGCAACGGTGGTTAATGGAAAATTTACTAATGGCCGTTTGAGTCGCTCGACGATCAACGGGTCGGCAGCTGAAATAGGTGATGACGCTTTTTATCAAGTAGAAACAATTACAAGGTTGTTTTTCTAGAATTGTAGATAAATAGGCTAACAACAAGATTAACACGATTTCTTCAAAAGATATGGACTAATGATTGTCACAGACGAATGATAGCTATGTAAACATCAACGAATAAGCTTCCAAACACGTGTTGCTTATTGCTACATGCCATTTATGGCATTTTAACGACAATATACGTAAAGATCAAGCTGTGATATTCGATTGAAATCTTCACTGCGCCGTCTTGGTTATTATGAAAACATCCACATACGGTTTTAGCAGGTATCATAGGAGCAGTGGCTGCCACCAACGACATATTGGCTCTGGTCGTTTGACGATGATTGCCGCGTTTAATGTTCTACCGACTTCGTTTCGACTTCCTCACTTTTTCTTGATGTGGCCTCCTTGAATCCGACGATGGTGCCACGCTGCGTATTTGGGGCTAAACAGGGTGGATCTCAAAGTTTCGCGAGCTCTGAAAAGTCATCATATTCAAGAGGAAAGGAGCTATGAAATGTCAGAAATTTCCTGCGTACTGATCCTTCAAAGCTAAACTTGCAATCATACCTACCTTATGTGA